GCGTCCACCAGTGGTGGAAAGATGGGCAATCTCCCCTTTTGTGATTTAACAGCCTCCGAAACCCACTAGAGGGTCTGCTATGAGCCAGTTAAAACTCAACAGCACTGAGTCGTCCCGCGTGATATAGAACTATGACATAATGAATAACTCTTTAGCTACCAACCATGGATGTTTGGGTTGTTTTGGGGTTTTTTCCACTTTCTTCATCTTGTTGATGTTTTCTCAAACATAAATCAAAAGACACACCTACTCAGCTGTTTCTGCATGTCCTATTCACCGACAATTTACTATTTTCTTCAAGTTATTCAGCCTTTTCTGAATTGTTCCAACTCCATTAACAGAAACCCATTGCCTCTTATTTTTTAACATAAAAACTATTTTCTTTTTCCCATTGTTGCACATTTTCTTCTTCTCCCTTCCCCCTCCCTCCCCAGGCCTCCCTGCAAAGCACCCCTTGTTCCAGTTTGTTGTCGTAACCCATTGCCTCTTAAGGCTTCTATCTAATCTTTTGAGTTGCTTTTGTCACTTTGATTCTGTATTAAAACTAAAACAACAAACTCACAAACAACTCAAAACTCATTTCCATCAAGTCAGAAGCAACTCACAGCTAACCCTCCAGCAGGTTTTCGGAGGCTGTAAGTTCCACAGGAGGAGACTGCCCATCTTTCTCTGACAGAGCAGCTGGGGGATTCGAACCACCGGAGAGGTCCTGCTTTTCAGTTTGCAGCCTGACTTGCTACAGACGGTGCCACTAGAGCTCCCTTTTCTAGACCGTTCTAATAAACGCACGATGCTCAGAGCAGACATTTTGTACTAATTAACCTAAACTTATTATTTGTCTTTAAGAAGACTTCAAGGGACTATTTTTAAAATTAAAAAAAGAAAACCAGCACAACAAAAAACCCAGCAACGCAGAACTCTTGTCATTTCCTGTGGTCCTCCGCCTTCTTCCCATTTTCTCAACTATTCCAAGTTTGGGGAAGAATATTGCCTTTCTTCTCTTTATTGTTTCCACATGTTTGGTTCCCTAAATAACATATTGTTCCATTTTGAGTAGAAGTCATACTGCATCTAAGTAAGTGTGGCTTTTTGCCTTTTTATCTGGCATTCTAGACAATTTCTTCAGATCTGTCTTCTATTAATGGGCTCGTTCCAGCTGCCCTGGCAGCATGGCGGTTAAGGGCTTGGCTGTTAACAGAAAGGTTGGCAATCCAAACGCATCCATTGCTGTCATGGGAGAAGAAACTAAAAATCTGCTGTCATGATGATTACCACCTGGAAATCCCTGTGGGACACTTCTACTCTGTCACATCGAGTCGTTACATGACAACATCCAACAACAGTATTGAATTTCAAATTTCCAGCTCTTTGTTTTTGTTTCCTGAAGTTCTGTTCATTTTTGTCACTCTGTAGCCTCATTTTAAAATTTCTTTTTATTTTATCAAAGTAGCTATGTGTCTTTCTCATGTCATTATTGTTATTATCATTATTGTTTTTTGTCTTTATTGGAGGAAACTTCCCACCTTCCTCCCATAGAGAGGCTAGTGGTTTGGACGGCTGACTTTTTTCGACACTACACACTGTGCCACTAAAGCTCTGTGATGTTATTCTTGGGGATCCATCTACACTGGCTGTTCCTTTTCACAGGTGGGCAGGGATCCCCTGTGTGAATGTAGCTCTGTGCTAGGTGCTCAGGAGGCAGGAGAGGCAGTGCCAACTCTCTTGGGGCTGAGAGGGTGGTGAAGGAGAGGCACCAAAGTTGCAGCCAGCTGGGCCGGGGGTAGGGAGAGAAGCCCAAAGCGCTCAGCCAAGTGTCTGCGAGATCTCTTAGATGGTACACCCTAAGAGTGAGTGGGAGTTAGCGGGAGCTCTGGTGGCCTAGTGGCAAGAAGCTGTATTGTAATCCCAGAGGTGCACAGTTTAAATCCACCAGAGGCTCTGCTGGAGGAGGGCCAATATCCTCCTGTACCAGTCAGATCCAATTTGATAGCACACACACACACACACACACAGAGAGAGAGAGAGAGAGAGAGAGAGAGAGTAATAAAATTTTAAAAAATTGAGAATGAATGGGAGTTGGCTGTGAAAGCCTAATCCTGGGTTATGGGTCATATAGGAGCGCTGGAGGGTCAGAGAAAGAGAGGACGATCAGTGAGATGGATTGGCGCAGTGACTGCAGCAGTGGACTCGAGTGTGGCGGAGAGTGTGGGGTTGGCGCTGGACAGGGCAAAGTTCAGGTCTGTTGTTCACCAAGTCACGGTGAGTCATAGTTGACTTGATGGCAGCTAACGACAGCTAACAGGCAGAGTGTTCAGTAAATGATTGCTCATGTTACAACAGCAGGCCTTCTCTGTGTTGCTGGTTTGCTGGCAAGTCAATACGAGCTCATAGAAAGCCTGTAGGATGGACTAGGACTCCATGGGGTTTCTTACACTGTAATCTCATGGGAGCACTTTGCTGAGTCTTCTCTCAATAAACCACAGGGTAGCTTCCAGCTGCCAACCTTTGTGCTAGCAGCTGAATGCTTACCCATTGCATCACCAGGTCTCTGAATCGGCCTGGGAATTTGCCAGTCAGTGGAATAGAAACTGCCCTACAAGGTGCTGTGCACTTGAGTCCCGAGCTGTGAGACTCTGAGGTTTGTGAATGCAGGTCACTGGTCACTGGAGCGCATGCTCCCTCCCTCAGAAGTCTGCTGCAGTGTGTGGTGAGCAGCGTGGTCCTCAGGTCCCCCTTCCCCTCTCTCCTCACGTGCAGAGCAGCTGTAGCCTCCGAAGGGTAGGAGAGTCGTGGGTGTGAGTAGAACTGACAGTCGTTCATTCTCACCCACCTGCAGCGAGTGTCGGTGGGGTCATTATTCTGTGTGCTGGCCTTTGACTGTCTTCTGTGGTTCCTGTCCCTCACAGTAGCCCTTCCTACCTGCCTGCATCTTCTGCTGAGTCTTCCCTCCTCTGTACCGGATGCCTCCATCCATCCTGTTGCTAAGGGAAGCCTTCTATCTTCTCTCTGGCTCCTCCTTTTTGTACAAGGCTCCCCGCTTGATGGGCATGTCCAGTCAGTTCCTTCTCCAGAACCCACCTTGCATCTTCCCTTCTATCTCCTTAACTAACTTCTGCTCCCAACATCCTGAAGTTCCTTCTGCTCCCAGCTACTGCAGGGACAGCTCCTTAGTTTTCTTGCTTCAGCAGGCAGGGGGCGTTCCTGAACACACACCAGCTCCTATTTTCCCCCTGCTGCCAAAAACCTCGGTGGGTCGCCCTGAACAAGGCATACAGCTCTCTCTCACCTGACCTTGCCTGACTCACCCTGCACCTCCTCCAGCTTCACCATGTTTTCTCATTCCTGCTCACCGTAGCCCTCACGTGCCAAGTCCTTTCCCACATCAGACTTCGGCACGTCCGAAAGAGTCTCCTGGTTTTGTGCATGGCTAGCTCCGCCCCCTTCGGTCTCCTTTCAGTGAGATGGAGTGATCAGCAGGCACAGCAGTGGGTTCAAACATGGCACTGGTTGTGAGGATGGCACAAGATTGGGCAGTGTCCGTTGTGTCATCCACACGGTTGCTGTGAGTCAGAACTGACGGGATGGCACCCAACAACAACAACAACAGTCCCAGAGGAACCTTATTCATTATTCTCAACACTCATTGCCATTGAGTCAGATCAATACGTAGCTGACCTTCCACCAAGGTTCTGAGGCTGTAAATTACATGGGAGCGGATGGCCCGTTTTTCTCTTGTGTAACCTCTGGTAAATTCAGACTTTAGTGGGCTTTGGTTAGCAGCAAAACTCCATACAGACTAGGCCACCACAGCCTGTGTTCTCACTGCTGATGTTGTTCTTGTTAGGTGCCAACGTGAGCCAACTACGATTCATAACTGAACAGTAGGTCTGCACCTTGCCCCACCTGGCACCGTCCTCAGTACCTCTGATACACCTGAGCCCATTGTACAGTCATTGTGTCAATCAGTCTTACTGAAGGTCTTCCTCTCTTTCTCGGACCCTCCACTTTTCCCAGTGTGATGTCTTTTTCCAAGGACTGGTCCTTCCTGACAATATTCCCAAAGGATATGAGATGAGTTTCAGCATCCTTATCTCTAAGAATCACCTTGCGTTGCTCCACGACAGACTTTGTTCTTTTGGCAGTCCACGGGATATTCAGTAGTGTTCTCCAACACCACAGTCAAGGCATTCATTCTTCTGTTGTCTTTATTCACTGTCCAACTTCTACATAGATACATAGGAAGTCATTGAAAATACCGTGACTTGGATCAAGTCTTTATCCTGATGGCATTTCTCTTTCACACTTCAGAGAGGTCCTTGATGGTAGATTCCCCTAATGCAACATGCCTTTTGCTTCCTTGACTGCTGGTGCCATGAGTGTTGACTTTGGATCCAAATAAAATGAAATTGTTGGCAGCCTGAATCTCTTTTCCATCTATCACAATGTTGCTATCCGCATGTACCCTTGTCACAATCTAAGTTATTTGGCTATTTTCCCCCTTCCTCTTCTCATTGGTAGCTGAAACAGGAACTTTACCTGCCCCCTCGGCACCTGCTGACAGCCCGGCAAATGTGGCCCCTGGTAATGGGGTGGCATCTTTTGGCCCTGTTAGATGCCTGGATGCAGAAACAGACTTAGAAGCCAAATAGCTTGTCTGAGGTCATGCAGCAGGTGGCAGCGGGATGATTCTGGTGAACATGCCATACCCATCATACTGTGGCCAATGATAGTGGCCACTGCCAGAACCCTGGGACACTCTGGCGGACCACAGGCAGGTCCCTGGACACCAACATGTGACATTCCTCTTAGAGTGTCCGTCAGGGAATGGCGGGGGCTCAGGGACCCTTCTATCACCTGGTGGAGGCCTGCACCATTTGTTCTTAAAGGCTCTCTGGACGGTGTTGGGGAAGTTTCATTAGATGGGTGGGGTAAATGTTACATCCAGGAAACTTGACTAGAGACTCCCTGATGATCTCCCTGTCCCCTCCCCTCCCGCCCAGGCCGCACCAGCTTCTACGAGGAGTATGGTGTCATCCGAGACGTCCTGCAGAACCACCTGACGGAGATCCTTACCCTTGTGGCCATGGAGCTGCCCTCCAATGTCAGCAACACAGGGGCCGTGCTGCGCCACAAGCTGCAGGCCTTCCGGGCGCTGCGGGGCCTGCGGAGGGGCAGCGCCGTGGTGGGCCAGTACCAGACCTACAGCGAGCAGGTGCGCAGGGAGCTGCAGAAGCCAGACAGCTTCCAGAGCCTGACACCAACCTTCGCAGGTGGGCTCCGGGGCTGCCCACCCACCAGAGCAGCTCCCACACCCAGGAGCCCTTTGCTTGGGTTGGAAGGGAGCTAAGGTGGGGATTTCCACGAGGGACATAGTGGAGCGTGTGATATGTCCCATGAAGGTCTCAGATCTCTGGTCTCTGACAGCTTAAAGCACCAGGCCCTCTGCTGGCCTCTCCACATCAGCCTCGGTTAGTCCAGGGCCACAAAGGCTCAGGGGCTGGTTGTGCTGGTACAGAATGTGGAGTGTGTACCAAGGCCCTCAATGAGCAGCAGGCCTGCCCAGCTGCAGCAAGGACCCTCTGGGGGGCAGGCCCAGGCTGCCAGGCAGATGCCACTAGAAGCATCCAGGAGAGGGCAGGAGGCGGTGGCTGTCTTCTGAGGGTGCAGGTATCACCCCCATAGTAAGCAGAACAGCAGTATGCAGAGCACCCACCGTGCACCAGGCTCTGGCTTGCATGCTCGTGTGTACACACACCCCAGTTGTGCAGGTGCAATTATGAATTATCCCATTGTATAGATGGAGTTCAGTGAAGTTACGAAATTGTGCCATGAATGTGCAGAGAGGTTGTGGGAACCCAGGTTGGGTGTATGTAGAGCCTGACTGTCTCCCCAGAGCTGCTGTCCTCCTTACTCTGCTCCTGGCCCCTGCATCACATTTGGCTTTGTGCACTCTCACACACATCCCGAGTGCTCCACAAATGGCGGGGGGCTCCTTTCATTGCATTTCCTCTCAGGAGTCAGGACCACCCCTCTCTGTGCTGAGACTTTTTCCTTTTAGAGCCTTGACATCAGTGATGTTCCACCCAGCACTGCACGCTCTGTGGACTGTGGCTCTTTGAGGAGCCTCGAGGGAGGCAGTGGACCCACAATGAGACGGTCCAGGGATCAATGTTCTATCATTGGTGAGAAAGAGCCTAGAAGGGGGGTGAAAGGTAAGGGAACAAGGAAATGAGTACCACAGGTACTAGATGATGCCAGGTCAGTTCTGACCCGGGCTGACTCCTGTGTCAGTGCAGAGCTGCTCACAGTGTGGATTTTCGTGGCTGACTTTTCAGACACTGATTGCCAGGCTTTTCTTCCAAGGTACCTCTACGTGGACTTGAACCTCCAGCTTGCAGTTAGTAGCCAAGTACATTAACCATTTGCACTCCAAGGGCTCTTAAGTATGGGGCAGGGATTCTCAGGAGGCAGTGGGGTGCCCCAACAAAGAGAAGGGCAACATGTTTGTTCTCTGTGCTGGAGTGTCACCCCCACTGTCCCCTTTCTCCTCAGGTGTCCTCGTTCACATTGACAACCTTCGCTGGGAGGGTGTCCCCTTCATCCTGATGTCTGGCAAAGCCTTGGACGAGAGAGTGAGCTACGCGCGGATCCTGTTCCGGAGCCAGGCATTCTGTGTGCAGAGTGAGAGGCACTGGGCCGAGGCTCAGAGCCCATGCCTGCCACAACAGGTCATCTTCTACATTGGCCACGGTGACCTGGGCAGCCCCGCCGTGCTGGTCAGCAAGAACCTGCCCAGGCCCACGCTGCCCTCCGAGAGCTGGAAGGAGGTAGAAGCCCGGCCTGGGCTCCGCCTCTTCGGCAGCCCTCTGTCTGATTTTTACGCCTACAGCCCCGTGAGGGAGCGGGACGCCTACTCCATCCTCATCTCCCACATCTTCCACGGCCGCAAGGACTCTTTCATCACCACGGAGAATCTGCTGGCCTCCTGGCACTTCTGGACGCCCCTGCTGAAGAGCCTGGCCCAGGAAGCCCCACGTCACTACCCGGGAGGAGACGAGAGTGGGCACCTCCTGGACTTTGAGTTCAGTGGCAGCCAGTTGTCCTTCTCCCAGACGCAGCCAGAGCAGCTGGTGCCCGGGCCTGGTGCTGCCCCAATGCCCAGTGACTTCCGGGTCCTCAAGGCCACGTACCGTGAGAGCCCACTGATCTTGGCCTGGGCTGAGGAGCTGATCGCTAAACTGGCCAGTGACATTGAGACCATGGCCACCCGAGCGGTGCAGCGCCATGGCACGTTCCACCTGGCGCTCTCGGGTGGCTCAAGCCCGGTGGCCCTGTTCCAGCAGCTGGCCCTGCGGCACTTCGCCTTCCCCTGGGCCCACACACACCTGTGGCTGGTGGACGAGCGCTGCGTCCCACCCACAGACCCGGAGTCCAACTTTCAGGGTCTGCAGGCCCACCTGCTCCAGCACATCCATATCCCCTACTTCAACATCCACCCCATCCCGGTGCACCTGCACCAGCGGCTCTGTGCTGAGGAAGACCAGGGCACGCAGCTCTACGCTGGTGAGATTGCTGCCCAGGTAGCTAACAGCAGCTTCGACCTGGTGCTGCTGGGCATGGGTGCCGACGGGCACACGGCCTCACTCTTCCCCCACTCTCCCACTGGCCTAGATGGGGAGCAGCTGGTCGTGCTGACCACAAGCCCTGTGCAACCACACCAGCGCATGAGCTTCAGCCTGCCTCTCATCAACCGGGCCAAGAAGGTGGCCGTCCTGGTCATAGGCAGGATGAAGCGTGAGATCGCCATGCTGGTCAGCCGCGTGGGCCATGAGCCCAAGAAGTGGCCCATTTCAGGGGTCCTGCCAACTTCGGGCCATCTGATATGGTACATGGACTACGAGGCGTTTCTGGGGTGATGGTCCTCATACCCTCTGCTGCATCTAGACCCACTCTCCTCTGCCCCCTCACCATCTGCCCCCCACACAACCAAGCTCCCTGGAATCTGGTGCCCTAGGGCTAGACCCCCAAGAAAGAAGGACCAGGCCCTATCTCTCTCCCTTTAGCCATCAACCCCTGTCTAGTTATGGCAGCTAGACACAGAAACAAGGACAGAACGGAATCCCTGCTCACGAGAAGCGTCACATCTAGCTCTGGAAAGCAAATACCCACTTTGAGAAAAGACCCTCCACTGCCAGTTCCATATTAACACCCACCAGCACAAAACAAGGTGTAGAAGCTCCAGATTCAAAGGGTCACAAGGACAGAGGGTAGTCAGGGAATACTTCCTGGAGGAGGTGGCCCTGGGACTAGCTTCTGTGGAACAGAAGAGAAAAGAGTGAGAGAAGGGAGCGCTGCATCCACATAGGGCAGAGCCTTTCCTGGTCTTGCCCCCTTGGCCCTTTTCTCCTGCCCTCCACTTTTGGTGGCTGGCTCGCCCTGCTCTGTCTCTCTTCACTACCCTCTTCTCCATCCTGACTGTGGGGACCTCTGTCTGGCCTCTTGTCACTTTGCTCTCTTTCAGAAACAGGACAGGCTTCACATCAGCAGTAGGACTAATGGTCACTTCAGGAAAACAGCTGAACAAAATGATAGAAGAGACAAGGATATAGAAGATTCAGAAATCTGCAGGCTGCTGTTTGGAGCATGCTTTCTGGGTCAGTGAACCCTACTTGGGGATCAGGCTTTCTCTGGGAGGAGCCCCTGTCCTCCGCCCTCACACCTTCTCCTGGGCAGACTCTGAAGACACACTGGGTACAGATGGTCAGGCCATTCCAGGGACCCCTGCTTGAGAGGCCATGTCCCTCCCTGAGGGCCTCCAGGTGGCTGTTTTCCTAGTACAGCCTCTCCTGTTTCACCAGGATGGATCCTGGGAAACCAGCCATTCCCTGAGGGTGCTGTCAGGTGATGCTGGGCCATGCAGGCAGCTGTGATGGGACAGATGGGGAGCCAGACTCCCTTGTGGGCCGGCCCGGCCTCTGGCTGCTTCACCATGCCAGGGAGGACAGCGCAGTCAGCCCTATTCACAACTACCTCTCAGCGGTGACATCTGAGCCTGCTGGCCCCTTCTACCACCACTCTTGCCTTTGGGAAAAATCAGTACCAACTGCCTTTTTGTCAGAGCAGATTGTGTGCTATGCTCTTAAGAAGCTACCAGCCAGTCAACCAGCAATGCGTACTTTCCTGAAACCCACAAGAGGGTCTCAGAAATCTTAACAAAAGGAAACATTTTGGGACCTGTTTACTTTATATTTCAACTTCCTTTGTAGTTATGGGCCCCGAGGTGTTACTGTACAGGAATAAGAGACTTTCGGTGTCTGTGTCACCTGGAATTTTCAAGGGGAGATGGGCTTTTGGTGGCTAACAGGAGCATCCCCAAATCTCTTTCTGGACCTTTGATTGTTTACACTTTCTACTTGGCTGTGGATTGGCATTGGAAACAACCCTTGCTTTTGTTTGTGATGTTTGCATGTGAAAGGGTTGAGCCAGGGACTTGAATATGAAAGGTATTCTTGTTAAAATTCTGCTTACTCTGGTCTCCAGTGACCCAGTCCAAACAGAACATCTCTCTTTGTACCAAGACAGCTCATCTTGGCAGAGTGGAACCAGAGCACTCAAGGTCAAGAGCTCCCCTCCCTCTTGGCCTGTGGCACTAGAGTTTTTGCATCTGGTGGGTGGACACAGGTGATCTGTTGCCAGAGTCCACCTCTCACCACATGGGGGTGCTCGCGCACCATCCCTCGCCTGCCTGCCAGTTTCATCGTCTTTTATTTGTTTGCATTTCTGTGTTTTCCTCCCTTGTCCACAGCACGCCCCCATCTGTTCTTTAAGAACTTCCTCTTCGGCTTGAAACACCAGAGAGGGAGGCACCTTCACGTGGCCAACCTCACTGCGGGGCAAGGGTGAGCTGGCTCTTGATGTCACTGTTTCTGAATAACGGTGAGTCACAGGCAGGCCAGAGTTAGGATGTCCTGTTCTTACTCAGGAGTGTGGCTGCCTCCAAAGTGCCCTTTATCTGCGTGAGTGTGGGGTTGGGGAGGGGTGAGGACAAGAGTTGCCACCAGGCTTCCTGTCCAGAAAGAATCAAGTGTTTTCTGAAAATCACGGTGGGGGAAGTCCAAGCTGGGAAAAGGGTCAACATCTCCCTGCTTCCTGTTGGATGGGCAATCGGGGGTGGGGAGGTGGGGGAAGCTCCTTGTTGGGCTCATATCAGTTATTGGGATGAGTCAGTCACATTTGTGCATAAATCTGCATATCAAATTTTCTTAAAAGGATTCTTAACTTGGAACTGGAACTACCTACCCCCTGCTTTCCATTAAAAAAAAAACACAAACATTTTTTATGGCAGTCGATGAAATTGAGATGGGATGTTTGAAATACATTGCTTTCAAATTATGTGCTTGGCTGCTAAAGAAGAAAGGTTGACTGTTCGTACCCACCCAGGGGACTCTGCGAGGGAAAGATTTGGCAATTTGTGTCAGTATAGATTGTTGCGCTGTTGATTCTGATGTAGCGATTCCATAGAACGGGGTAGAACTGCTCCCTTCCTCAGAGTCCCCAGCTTGCAGTCTTTGGGGAGACAGATTGCAGTGTATTTTCTAGCCCAGTGGCCAATAGGTTCAGACTACTGATCTCTGGGTCAGAAGCCAAGTGCTTCCACCTCCGCACCACCGGGGCACCTTCCATAAAGCCTGCAGACTAGAAAACCCTGAGGGGTAGTTCTACTTGGCTACAGGAGGTCACTGAGTGTCAGATGTCAACTAGTGGCACCCATCAACAACCAGTGTTTTTCTCTGATGCACAGACCACTTGAGGGGCTGGGGCAGGAACCTCTGCCTTTCTCTCTAGCAAGAATCTCACCCTTCCTCCTCCCAGTCTTAAAGGAGACTTCCTCAGGGTTGGTCCAGGGATCAGGAGCTGGAGGCCAGGCTCTCAGTGCTGCTGGTATCGCAGCCGGGGTTCACCCCATTAGAGCGGGAGGATAGGGGATGACTGGAGTTTGCCTGAATTGTAGCTCTCCACACAGGGGCCAGCTTGTTTTATTGCTTTTAACAGTACTGCGAGGTGGGCGGTGAGACCCTCACTGATGAGCTTAAAGCTGACGTTAGAGAACTGCTGTCTAATGAGCTGTGAGGAGCATAGCTGGAAGGCAGGTCCTGTTTATGCAGATGAAAGTTGGTGCTGCTGGGCTCTGGGCTGCAGTCACTGCCCCGTTGGAGTGCAGGCTTAACCCTTTGCAGTCCTGCCTGCTCTTATGCCCACTGGTCCCCGGAGCAGTCCTGTAGACCCATGCCACTGTGGAGGGCTGAGGGGACGCTAGAGTGAGCCCTGTTCTTTTGCTGTAATATGTGTAGCCATCACAGAACTTACCAGCCCCACTCCCTGCCCTTCATACTCTGGAGGAGACCCCTGCCTCCCTGTGCACAGGAGTCTTCCCTGCAAAGCTTGTCCTGGAGGAAAAGGGCGAGTGGGAGCCTGAGCCCCTGGAAACCCAGGGAGCGCAGATGTGCTCGAGGCACAGACTCGGCCTTCCCCAGAATCACACTCCCCTCCGCTCCCCTCCAGGCAGCCCAGCAGGGCGAGGAAATCAGAATTCCTCCCCTCACTGCCAAGCAAGGTGCAAACTACTGATGCTGTCGTCAGCACGAGGCAGAAACAGCAGGAGATTTGAGGGTGCATTTCTGAAATTATAGCAGACCGTGAGGGGAAAATGATCCCTTTGATGAAACTTCCTCTCCAGCCAGCTTTCTGGAGGACATCTGTTTGCAAAGCAGGTCCTTGGGTGTGTGCATGTGGGAGAAGGAAGGGGATTGAGAGCAGTTGACTAATTATGCCTCTGCTGCTGCTTTTTTTTTTTTTTTAAATTCCCTGGGATGATCTTTGCTTAAAACCCCAACTTTGCTCCCAGGTTTTTGAAGGGATAGTCCCTGCGTTTTTTCTGCCCCTGTGGGTGTGGGGAGGCATGAGCCCATTTCAGTTGCTGAAAGCCCTGTGGAGTTTTTAAAGTGGATAAGAGTTAGCTTTGAAAGCAGAAGTGTAAACCAGGCATTACCTAAATGTATCAGTTTGAGTCCTCAGCTGCAACCCCACGGGAGTCTAGAAGGTTCTTCCTAAAGCTTTACCACCAGCTGCTGTGGAGTTGATTCTGAATCTTGAAGCCTGTGTGTGTCTCCGAGACAAGCGCTGCTCTGTGGAGTCTTTAATAGCTGCTTTTTCTAGATCACCCTGCCTTTCTTCCATGGTGCCAGGGGCTGGATTTGAACCTCCAAGGTTTCGGTTACCAGCCAACTGTGTTAACTGTTTCACCGTCCATAAAACCCACTGCTATTGAGTTGATTCAGATTTGTAGTACTCCGTGAGGTAGAGTAGAACTGCCCTGTGGGGTGTCTAAGGTGGTACCCTTTATGGGAGCAAAGTGCCACATCTTTCTTCCACTGAGAGCCTGGTGAGTTCAAACTACCATCCGTTCTAGATAGCAGTCAAACAATTAAACCACTGTACCACCAGGGATTCCTAAAGCCTTAAGAGGATTTGTTGAGCATCCAGAGCCTCGTTCAGTTCAATTCTCCTGGTTGTAACCTCTCTGGTCTCTTCCTCTCCCCAGTTTTGCTCATTTGGATAAGCCAGGGATAGAGCAGATGCCAAGGACAGAGCCACTCCTCTCACAGAGCTGGTCCCGCCTTTGCCAGGGTGAAGAGTCATGTTTACAGCTGGACACGGCCCGGGGGTGCCATGCTCAGAGGCCTGGCGTGGGGAGTGGGATAAGGAGCAGGTATACAACCGCAGTGCGTGTGGGTGCCTCCTCTGCCCCTGCTGAGCAGCTCAGGGCGCTGGGCTCCTGACTGACCAGGAGAGGGGACCATCTGCTCCCGGGGAGCTGGGTGGACGTGGGCGTGGGTGTCCCCCTCTGGCTGTACTT